CGGCGCTGGCCGTCTCCTCCCGCCCGACCCCTCCGCGGGTCGGTCTCTCCCCCCAGCCCCGTCGGGAGGAGCAGCCCTCGCCTCTCGGCCGCGGTGCTAGGGGAGAGCTGGGCGAATGAAACATTTTTTTTTCAATTAAGCTAATAACCCGGGACCTACTGAGCTTGATTAATGCACATCATCCCCTGATACTTCAGGCACACCATAGGTATGCGGCATTAATTGGCACTGCTACCCGGTCTGATTATATAACAAATATCTTTATCCCGAAGTGCAGTTACTCATTTTAAGATAATTTTAAATTCTCTTTTTTTTTTTTTTTTTTTTTTTTGTCACATCCAGTGGTCTGCACATTGCACTTTCTCAGCAAATACTGCAGTTTGTTAAGTACTCGTTTGTTTCCATATTTTCATTTTGCATCTGCATTTCCCCAGCGCCTTCTGTTTATTTAGCTTTCCTACTACCATTTCATTGTCTTTCCTTGCATGTCAGAAAACGCCTCTAAAAATTACCTAATGTTCCCTAAATGCTCTTGCTTCTGCCTCTGAAATTGAACCTTTTAGCAGCTTCATTTTATAGTTAACTATATTTCACTGCTTGATTCTTCCAACTTTTAAACTGAAGATTTTAATAAGTGGCTTCTAGGTATCAGAGCTGTGATTTAATACTGCTTTCCTTCTTCTGTTTATTACAGAGTGACAGATACGCCTGCCCTACTCTTCTCTGGCTTCTAAAATAGGAAGATAATAGAAAACATAAATACAAAACAATGAGGAGTGGAAAATATTGTAAAAGGCCAGCGTTTTAGTGTCTGAAATCTCAGCCCTGAACATCATTGTGCCAGGATGCGTATGGTTCTGAGAGCCTTCCAAAGACCCGTGTGTTCCTGTAGGGATGAGGGAATTGTAACCACTGCCATTGAAATACCAGCCATGACGTGTACAGAAGCCCAAAATAACAGGAATCTGAATGGATCAAGGGAGGGGAAAAAGGATGAGTATGTAATAAGTATACCAGAAACGCCAATAGAATATCAATAAATATCAATGTAGAATAGAATACCAATAAAATGACACTACAGCACCATCCTGGTGTTCACCCATACTCACTTTCTGCACCATGGTGTAAGGACAGGACAGGGTAGGGTTTGTCAAAGTCAAGCTAGTGACTAGGACATGTGTTTTCTGTTAATTTTAATTTATTGTATCCGCTGCATGATTTTCTCAGTGTTCACTGCCAAAAATGTCTTTTTTTCACTTTCCTGGACAGATGCCTTAAAGATCCCTCTGTTCCATTTTTAGCAATGTTTCTGAGGCTTTCTTTAAATGCAGTTGTCTCGCCAAGCAATTGCTGGGTCCACGTGGGGTTTTCCTGTGTCAGTTTTACCACTACTGTTCTACTCAAAACACAAAGGGCTTTTTACCTCTCATTTCTCATCACTGAAACTGCAACTTGGCTTGAATTTTACATTTGGTATTAAGCAACCGTGCAGAAACATTATCTGCATACAGAAATGAGATGAGAGCCATATGTATGTATAATGACAATTTATATTCCCAAGTCTTAAGTAGCGGTTAGAACATCTATATCCCTGAGACTGTTTTGAAAATCTCAGTACTCTTTTCTAAATGATTAATTCATTCATATGTGTTTATTTATTGGGATATTCTTCTATGCAGGACTTTAGTTAGATGGGCTGTGTACAGAGTCCCGAGCTGTGCTAGAGAATGAGCTATGTGCTACACAAACTTGGTTATCCTATCCATTAATGAAGGATGCTGCCCAACCGACCACATTCCCATCTAAAAATAGCACAATAAAAAGGAACAGCTTGCTCAGCAGCATCAGGTGGAGTCGAATATAATTGTTTCATGCTCCATAAGCGATTTAGGTTTGTTGTTTATCAGTGAAAGATTTATTTAGCCCATAGTGCGCACAATGGTATTCTGCCTGAGTGTAAAATCAGAAACAAACACAAGACCAATTGTAAAAATATTATTTCTAGTGTATAGCTTCAGTTTAACATGGTATTCAAGATAAATGTGCTTCTAGGGGATCTACGTTCTGATAAGGACCTCTTTGCATCTGATGGAGAATTGTTAGTAAAGCAGCTCTTGGGGTTTTTTCAGCGTGTGGTAGCTGAGTGGGAATCATTACATTTCCCAGGCTGAGGTGTCTTCTTGTAGACCAAGTGCAAAATGTTTCCTTGCACATAGGTAGGATGTCCATCAATACGGTGTGTAATACTGAGTATGAAATTCTAACCCTCAAAGGATTGTAGCCACTGGTTGCAGGAGAGCCATGAATGAAACCCCTCAGTCCTGCTTTTGACCTAACAAAGATATAAATCAGCAGTAATTTCTAAAATATTTTTTATTAAGAAAAGTACATTGCAGTGGCGTAAATGAACTAAAAATCAGAACCCATGGGGCAGGAGTCTTTTCTCAAATCTTGTATTGCTTCAGCAAGTATAAATGCGTTATCTTCACCTGTTTATGTTCTGGATGTCTCCCCTGTTGCACGCTTTGCTGACAGGGGTACATTGAAGAACTTTGTGTTAATGTTCGCTAACTTGCTCTGGGATATCTGGATGAAAATTATATTGGAAATGTCCTTACACACCCTATGTGAAAACTTACCCCCATTATAGCCAAAGGCAATGTTCCCACTCTCTCATGCCTTGGAGTTTTTTCTTCCCCGTTGTCAAAAAGCATGTAAAGGTTTCAGGCCATAGCTGTGTTTTTGTACCTGCATTTCTGATCCTGCAAAAAGATGTCCATGAAAAAGGGAGATGGGCTGGTTTTGAAAAGCCAAGCACTTACACACAACACCCTGTTTCCTTGCTCATTAGTAAGGCTAACACATTTAAACCTAGCAATTCTTATTCAAGGCTCAAGTCCATATTTTTGAGCCCAGCTCTCTGTTTAATTGCTGTGGCATCGCTCCGGACACCTCATCGGGAGGAGCAGCAGGGGCTGAGGCTGGCGTGGGAATTGCTCTCCACAGCTGGTACCATGTGGCCTCACCATGTCCACACTGGCCACAAACCCATCCTGTCAGTCAGAACCATGCCGTCAGGCAAAATCTGCCATGCGGGGGAAGCCTGGGGAGTTCAAAAGCTTCACTGCCTCTGAATGGCAGCCAGTATCCTGAGAAATATATTGATTACAAGGTAGAAAGCACAGACATGAAACCCTGCAACTCATGAAGTGAGAAAGCTGTCACTGAAATGAAGGCACCCCAGGAAGCTATAAAGAGACAAAGTCGCATTCCTTCATCTTTGTGCACCTTGTAGAAGAGGAGCAATTGTCTTTCTTACTGAGGCAAATAAAGAAAGAGCACAGATAAGCAGGAATAGAGCATAAGGAAAACCAAAGGCAGGTAAAAGAATTAAGTTTATCTTCAGAAAAAAAAAAAGTTTCAGGGAATTGCTGTCATTTTATCTTCTTATTATTTTGAAAGAATATTCCTGATGAAGAAGGGTATTATGTAATGACATTTCATTTTGCATCAGTCACAAGGTAAAAGCCAGAGAGCAACTTCATGAAGTTGATGCATTTGATTTTGCAAAATGAAACTAAGCATTTTTTGTCTACCCACAGAGCTTTCTTTCAACATATAAACTTAATTAGGTTAAAATATAGGTCGTCCTTCATGGGTAAACGATAAACCATCACTGTGGGAAGCCAGAAGAGGCATGTTTACGAAGCAGGAGGAACACGTCCTGAACGTGTTACTGTGTCCCTGCGCTCTGCTGCTGAATTGACAGAGAAAAGTGAGACCAGGCCTCGGTGCTAGGGATCTCCCACCGCCACAGGCAGCCAAAGCAGAGACCCGACCACAGCAAGCCTTGCTCTGAAGAAAATAGTGATGCAGAGACAGAGATGCTTGTTTGGGGGAAGAGATCAATGCACGGGGATCGAAGATCAATCCAGTCCTAGTCTAAGTGTTTTGGCTACTGCCTGTCACCAGTGTTCACAATTTGAGGTGGCTCTCTTGCTGTTCTGCCGGCCGAGCGTGCACGGAGCAGCTCCCGGGCCAGGCTCGCTGCCAGTTTTGCAGAATACCTCAGACTTTCACCCTGACTGCTGAGGAACTGCTCTGTGCTGTCATCCGTGAGGAACAACGCCTTCTTCCTTCTTTTATTTCTCCTCCAAGTGCATTCACCTAGAAAAACAATGCGTTGCAGAAAACCTGTTATAAAAAGTGACCGCTGATATTTCTGCCTGCATCTCATTATAAAATCTGCCTGTTACTAACACTGCAAGATCGGTAGATCTTACGCAGCTGTTGGGAGATAAATGCTTTCACAAGATAAAACTTAAGGCTGTAAAGTATAAAACCAACCAGTTACACAGGTGTTGAAATGATTTTACTGATTCTATTTGAAAGGTCCAACTTGAGAATGTTAACACCATTCGAAAAGGAATTTGTGTTGTGTGTAGCTTTAATTTGCTAAGTCGGAGCACCGCATTTTAAAATGAGAGTTGCTGGAAACGCAGTTTGATGGGTAAAGTGGATGTGGTAGCTGCTGTAGTTTAATTATTTAAATACTAAAAAGGGCTGTGCTGCTTATATTTAATTTGGCTGGGGACCAAAGAACACTCTTGAAACCCACTCTTTTTCAGTAACACTATTTCTTTTTCTGCAGGAGCCAACACTACAAAGTAATTGAAAGATAGTATAAAAGAAGCCATATGTGTAGGCAATCACACAGAATATGGGAAACACCTGTTTTTCCATCAATTACTGCCTGCAAACTAGTGGGGCATGTTTATTTTGGGGGCATTACATTTGCTTGGGTAATAGCGCATAACACATTTTCAGTTTTACGGCAGATGAACACTGAGAACAGCTAATCATATCTGTATAAATGAAACACAAACATGCCCTCCCAGCCATACGTGCGGCTAAACGGGGGCCTAATGACACCCCGCATTACCCGCTGCGCGCTCTCAGGCGAGCAGGAAGCAGTTGGTGAACAACCGTCCATTTGTAGCAACCGGGCTGATTCTGTTTGCTCTGCAGCTCAAACTAATTCAAGCAAAAAGCCTGGAAAATGCATAGGCAGGACTGTAGGAGAGGCAGAAAACCCCAGAAAAACAGCAATAATGTCATCATTTGGAAGAGACAAAGTCCCCCCTAAAGTATTTTACTGCTGGCAATAGAAAGAGGCACAGTTGCCAGTTCATATCCTGTTTATTCGTAATCCAGGTAACAGAGGTGATCAAAGAAAGGAAATATTTTAGGGGAACATTTTATCAACTTCAGCTGCATAGATATAAACCCCAACATTTTTAAATTCTACATCTTTGGGTTACACTTTTAATAATATTTTACTTACGGTAAAGGACTTCATTGTCCTCACTTGTGAGCTCTTCAATAAATCCCTAAGCAAGGACCAATACATTCATAAATTGTTGACATATTTTAATTACAGCATAAATAACATCGATGAAAACACTGCTGAGAATTCAAAATTACTATTTTCGTTACATGTTTAATTTAAAGGGGGAGGTTCTGTAGAAGTCTTTTTAGAAGACTAAGTACATTGATTAATTATTTTTAAATGGCTCTTATACAGTGTTCTTCCTCTCCATGTTCCATTTCAAGTGTGACGAAAAAGAGAAAAGACCGGAAAGAACAGAGAGCACGAATACATGAGAGGAGAGTAAAAATACATGGGTAAACAGATTAAACCCCACTCAGAGCTATATGAAAAGCTATAAAAAAAATTGTCTATTCCCTCTCTCTTTCTTATTTTTTGGAACTTTAAGTAACAAAAGTGGCAATAAATGATGATTTTAGGTCAAAATTTCAGGAAAGTTTTCTTGTGTAAGGAAAAAGGGTAGTGTCACTGAAGAAAACTGTGAGAAACTACATTACAAGTGCTTCCTACCAAAGTCAGTGCTGGGCCCATAACATACACATGTAAAGGAAAAGAATATAGAACAGAATAGAATCATAGGATCATTTAGGTTGGAAAAGACCTTTAAGATCATCGAGTCCAACCGTTAACCTAACACTACCAAGTCCACCACTA